AAGTGAGGAAGAGTCATATTTTGCTAATAATCGAATGTTAGCTCAGTTTCATTATTAATTGTCCTCAATTCAACAATATTTGCTTTCAATAGTGTGTAGAAGAAACGGGCTTTATTTCATTTATATCTTTCTCAGTAAAAAATACTTTCCTAACTGTAGCATCTTCTTCTGCAGCAATAAGTTTCTTCAATCTCTCACATGTCTGGAAGGTATCAGATTGAGGCTTTTTAAACGAGTAGTTAAAGCGTGTTTCAAAATGACAACAAAAATAATTATATGTAAAACCATCAACTATACAGTATCTTGCTTATTTTTTAAATTGTTTTAAATAACAGGTTTATATATTAGCAGATAGAGTTTGTGCGTTTTTTGTATATTTAACTCAGGAGAAAAATACCATTTAATTTTATTTTTAATTCTGCTGTGATATGCTTTGGAAAAGACTTGATGTGAATCTATTTGGTGTACAATGCTTTCAGATATCATGTTGAAACAGTTTTTGTGTTTGCCCCGCATGTCTCATAGAGCAGGAACATGTTTTTGTAACTGTTTAACAAAATGTTCAACCCTTTTTCCACTCACACCATACAATGAACAAAGAGCTATTTCGTTCGGAATAGTGCAAAACTGCGTAACTAGCATTATCTACTATAATTGAATATTAATAATTTTAACACCAATTATCTGTTTTTGGCATTACAAAAAACATGAATACTATTTATATTAAAATGAGCTCAAAATCTGTTAAAATAACAAAAAAATAAAGTTTTAAACTTCTCCAGTAAAAAATCTGTTGTGCAGATACGCAGTATTATCCAATCCTAAATTATTTTTTTTCCCCACTCTTTTTGTATATACACAAGAGCATGAACGCTTTGGGCCAGTGCTAGATTTAGGCCTACGTTTTTCAACAAAAATATAAAAATATCCTTTTGTCATTAAAAACTTAAATAAATACCTCTTCGAGAACCCAGTGAAAGTTTTATGACAATCACCATAGAAATTTTATGATGTCAATAGAAATAGTTATAGAATAAGGTTCTTTTGAAAGAGCATATACCTAAGTATGGAAGCAATGGTTCTGGAAAATCTTTATGCATATCAAATATACTGATAAACTTATCACGGTATGTGATAAGTTTATCAGTAAACTTGAAACAGAAGTGAGAAACAAAACAATTAATGGTATAATATAAGCAAAACATTCTTCAATAATTATCTATTCAATTCCTCATATTTTTCACACTGACTAATTTTCATTAATAATTCGATATGAAAATATCGATTATTGAAAAAAAGTAAAACAATTTTTACTTTTTTTTGACAATGTTGGTCATAAAACCAATAAAATGTTAAAAGTATTGGGTGGACACGGAAAAATCAACTTTAAATTGAGATATCTCTAAAACCACAAATTTCTTTTATTTTTCTAATTAAATGTTACTTCATTTTATTTAATTGTGTTAATAATTTTTTTTTTTTTTTAATTTTTGATTACAAATCAATGATTTGCAAAATCTTTTGGAAACAAATTGAGGTGCGTAAAAAAATTGTGAATTTTTTTTGCAAAAATCCATCGACATATTGCTTGATTGCTAAACGTAGAAATATCCCAAAATCTAAAGTCATTGACGTTATAAAAAAGTTTAAGACTACTCAAAGCTTTGAAATAAAACCTGGAAGTGGAAGAAAGAAAAATTTCCATAAATACAAAAAGGTAAAGTTGGTTTATAATTCAATATTAGGAAATCCGAACCAGTCGCAGCAAGTTCTAGCACGAAAACTCAAGAATTTGCGCTATTGTATTAAAAAAATAATTAAAAAGGCTGGAGTTAAAGCATTTTAAAGGAAAAATACACCTCAGAGAATCTTAAACGGTGAAATTAAAGGAATTTGATGCGCAAAGAAGTTGTTTAAAATAATAGCGGATAAAAGTATGTGCATTATTGAAGACTACGAAACATAATGCAAGGCGGATTTTTCACAACTTCCTGGTCAACAATTTTACAAGGAGAACAAAGATAAATCTGTCGATGATCAGTTTAAACATATTTGAAAAATTTGCATCCTAGTCTTTGTGTGGCAAGCAATTTGTAGCTGTGATATACAGTCCTCTTGTTTTGTCACTTAGAAGACCTTGACTGCTAATATTTACATCAAAGAATGCCTCTATAAAAGACTTTTGCCATTTCTGAAATAACACAAATATTAATGTCTCTTTTGGCCTGATCTTGCTGCTTCTCACTAATCTAAAAAAGATCTACAGTGGTGAAAAGATAATAATGTGAAAATTGTTCCTAAAGATACGAATCCTCCAAATCAAGTTTTTCCAATTAGCCCTAGTTACAAACAGAAAAGAAATCAAATAAGGAAAAAGCATTTTGATGAATTGGAAAAAGACCAGTTCATAAAAGATACTTCATATGAAATATATTAAAAAGAACGTATTTCATAAAATTATATCAGTTTTGATAAAAGAATTACAAAAGCGTACAAATTCATATAACTTTTATATATTTATATATTTATTAAAGTTATTTTTACATATAGAGTACTCATTAATCTATATTTTTATATATTTTAAATTATTCGATCTCCTTTCCTGGAGCATGACTACGAACTTTTGGCTTTACGCCAATTGGGAATATTATCACAAACTTTTCTCTAATTTTTGAACAGCTCGTACTCTGTATTGGTTTTAACTTGTATCTTATTTAACTTAAATTTCCATTAGACAAAAATTTTTCTATAGGACATATTTCTGAATGACTTGATGGGTTGTTATTTTTAGGTATAATTTCAACGCCATTTTTTGATACCAATTCATTGTTGCTTTAGCATAGTGACAGCTGCTAAATCAGCATAACTCCTTACCGGAACATTATGGGGTTTTATAAAAGGTAGAAGACGTTTTTTCAGGATCTCTTTCTTGTAGAGTTCAGTATTCATCAACTTTGAAGTTACAAATGGCTTGCATTACTTGAAATTGCCAAATCATACATTTTCTGCCAAACTTTTCTAGTTTTGTATATTTATATTTATTGCTGACAGCTCCACGCCTAATGTATTTGTTTAAAGTCTAATGTAACATATGTTTCATCATCAAGAATTAAGCAGTCATTGAACGTTGTCCGATTGTTGTCGCACAGTTTTCTCGCTTGGGTTTTGATTTTTGCTGCTCTTCGGTACGGTTTGGATATTTTATCTTACAATAAGAGTGAATATTGTTTTTTGATATTTTTAACAAACAAGATGTTTTGTATCTTTTTGCACTTTTATAGTTAGATAATTTAGAATTTTTTAATTATGAAGAACAAATTTCAAGGCCAACTTTTTATTCTCGAACCGCCTATTTCTTCGTGATCCTAACTTGCGATTGATGGATAAAGATTCCATGTCACGTTTGAGAACCCAAATTACAGTTTGAATTTGGGTAGTTTAGAAATTGTTTTAGATGATGATCCAGTAGTTTCTAAGTAAATGCGAAATTCTTTTACGAGTAGTTTGTTCTTTTGGCATCATTTAATCTTTCAAGAAAACCTTGTTAATTTTTTTTGGCGAAAAACTAGTAAATTAAATTTTGTTTATATTTAAAAGGTTTTGTTTTTTTAACCATTTTTTGTTAAGTTAAAGCTTTCGAAGGATTTTCTTTTCAAATGAAACTTTTGAGTTGAGTTTCTAAAGGGTTCTCGATTACTTTTAGTTCGTGTTACTTTTGTGCTGAAACCATTAACGCAGTACTATGAAACGGATTCAAACGGCAAAAAAAATTCAGAAAACTTTAAAAGTTAAATTTTTTTACTTTAAAAATATAACTTTGTTTTTGTAACTTTAACAATTTTCTTTTATTATTTTCATGTTTTTACAATTTGAAGTTTTTTTAAAACACTACCTCCCCCCCCCCCCCCCCAAAAATTTTTAAAATATTTTCGAGTCTCCCTGTTATTTAGACACCTTCCCCTTTTTTCAGTAGGTGAGAGTAGTCATTTAAATGTTTTAATCCGCTCTGTCATAGCCGGGTTTATACTTGGTATTAACTTGTTCTTTGAGGTTTAACGCCAAGAACAGTGATGTTTCAATGCAGCTTTACCTAATCTAAGAAACAAGTTTGCAAATTTTATCATACTTGAGATTTTGTAATAAAAGTGCTTTTTTTTCTTTTCTTTTTTTTTTTTTTACCTATTAAAAATATTTATACAACTTTTGTACATGACAGTCATTACAAAAAATGACTCAGTTATTACAAAGAATGACTCAGTCATTACAAAAAATTACTCAATCATTACAAAAAAAAGACTGAGTACATCAACGATATCGTTATTTTAAACACTTTAATAAATTTATCGTTAAAAATAACGGTAAGCTAATTTTCTGTGATTTAAATTTAAACTTCAAGTTATGAATTTTATATTGCGAATTGATAATTTTTTAATTAATGATATAAGGATTTTAAAAATTTAAACATGATTTGTTTTGAACAAAAAAGCATTTTTTGTGTGTTGTTTTTGACATTAATAAACTTGTATTCAAAATGCGATTTGAAACCATTAGTTTAAAATATTATGTTTGTTAGTTAAATATTGAAACGATTACGTTGTTTGTAAAGTTAAATGTTTGCTTAAAATAGTAAAAGAACAAAACAAATTATAAGTATTATTTCACTCGCTGCACTTAAATATTTAAATAATAACGTGTTTCTACGTAAGTAGATGAGTCTAAACGGAAATCGTAATTATAGTTCGTAAAGATATACCAAAAAAAAAAAAAAAAAAAATACAAATAAAGTATGCGTGCGGATTATATGTATAAAAATTCGAATATTAAAAATTTAGAGAAACAATAGAAATCAAAAAATCTATGTAAATTTTTTTATAAAATACAATTATATAAAATTAGAAACAAATTTTGAAATTAAAAAAAATATGATTCTTAACAAAATTCAAGTGAATGTTTTATTTTTTTGCAAGTTATTAAAAAAAGTTAATAAAAATATTTATTACCTCAATTAATTAAAATTGACTTCGTTTGCATATAGATAAAAATTAAAATGTTTAAAACCATCGGCATGCGGTTTAAACTTTAGTCTTAAGAAAATGACAGTTTAAGAAGTTTTCAAATACAATATGATCACGTTACAACACAGACCAATCAAACAATAGTTTATAAAAATCAAGGAGGTATAAAGGTGAGTTTCCACTCATATACTTTTCAACGGGAACGGGCGACGGAAGGGAAAATAATTGCTAGAAAGAAAATGAAGCCGAAAATCGATCGTTTAAAATTTACATTCTTAATAGTATAATTATCGTTTACATTCTTAATAGTATAATTATTCCAGCGTCAAGCCAAAATGGCGCTTTTACTTTGAAAAAAGAAAAATTTGAAATGTAGTTTGTAACCTTTGAAAGCTTTAATTGAAGTGGGTTACTCTCTACAAAGTTGACTGAAGTGCCGCAAAGAGGAGGAGGGGGGGGGCTTGCGAGACCCGGGCGGCAGATATTCAAGGGGTGCCTTGAATATCTGCCGCCCTTGAATATCGTGTATGTTTTTAAAAAACTTTTCGAACTATCAAGAAGTAATCACAACAATAATCACGATCTACTTAAAGTTTTTTGATGCAAGGCATAAATGTTAAAGCTTCTCTCCCTCAACCCTTATCCTTTTTTTATAATTATTGATTGTGATCAATTTTATAATTCTGCTGATTTTCAAACCTATTTTTTGTATGAAATTTGAATTTTATATAAAAAATAGGTTTGAAAATCAACAGAAAGCTGTCTAATTCGATATCGAAGTTTAAAAATTACACTAACAAATGCTTTTTTTTAAAGACATTTTTTTAGTAGCAGAAAAAAATTCCCCGGGAAAAACCTCCCGAAATTATCCCCTGAGAAAAAACCCCCCCGAGAAAAAAACTTCCCGAAAAAAAATCCCCCCAAATTATTTTTTTACAGCGCATAAAATAAACGATATATCAATATAATAGTTTATAAAATAAATATTCTATACATACATATAATATTACAAGCAAAACCTTAATCCTTTATTTTTCAAAAATCGACCGAAATAGGTTAAACATGCGAGGAGTGGCGCTACTTTGATATTAGGGTTTTGGTTTTCGCAGGCATATTATTATTTTCAATAAAGTAATTGAAATTTTGTTTTTTTGAATGGGAATTTGTCTTTAGGGGATTTTTTCGGAAGGATAATTTCCTAAAATCTTTTTACTAAAGTTAATTTTCAGAAGTCGAACGTTTAGAAAATCGTTTTTAATTACGCAATCTGTTTATTTTTTTTAAAATACTTTTTACAATTTTTTAAAAATACTTTTAAGATTTTGCTTTTTTAATAATTATACATTGACCAACAAATAGGGATTAGCGCAATCAAATGTACATTCATCGACTTACAAATAGGAATTGGCGTAAAAAAAAAGTACAGGTTTAAGAGAGGGTTAGGGTCAGACATCTAACAGAGAAAATCTGCTGTAGCGCAGTGGTTAGAACGCTTGCATTAGAAGCAAGAGATCCAGGGTTCGAAGCAACCTCTCAGCAAACGTGAAAGAAGGGGTGAACTTCCTAGTAAAGCTCGTCCGCGTTGCTCTGTAGTAAGACTTTTAGGTCTAAAACAAAAATAAATAAAAATGAAATACCTTAAACAAAAATAAAAAATAAATAAATAAAAAAGAGACAAATGGGTTTTGCTTAAAGCAACTTTGCTTTTTAGTGATAATACAAATGTCAACAAAACCCAGGCTGTTTTTGAAAAGAAATTTTAATAATGAATGAAAATGTCGGAAAAGCTGGCGAATATTAGCGTTTTTCAGTGTAAAAAACGACGTTGTTTTAAATAACAACATTGAGTTCTGATTTGATGCACTTTCTGTTTATTTTCAGAACTACGTTTTCATACGATTCTTATTCAGCATTTAAATTCTTTAATGTCTATCGCAATGAATAATATTAATTAAAAAATGGAGTGAGGGGGGGGGAGGAGGAAGGAAAATTGTAACAGTATTGTTTAGCGCCAAATATTGTTTACAAATTTTTCTAAACTTTTTTATTTTTAATTTTTTTTATTTTGCCGTTTGTTAAGAATTATAAAAAAAAGAAATTAGAATAAAAGAAAATCCTGGCCGGAGCAAGAAAAAGATAAACTTGTCTTCTCACCGAGCCCCGTTACATAGATGTTTTCAAACGTTTTTACAAATGTACGTTACTAATAAGTGATAAAATAAAACAGTATAAATACATACAAAACTACAATAATAAAATTAATTTTTGCTAACAATTTTCTAATGGAATAATTAAAAAGAGTTATTAAACAAAATTACATTTTGCATTCAATATCTTATGTTTTATATATATTATTATTCCACATATTTACAAAACATAAGATATTGAATACATTTAATTCATATGATAAATAAAATAAACAACCCACTGGGCACGGACATTAAAAAGACGTTTTTTAAACGTCTTATACACGTTTTGGACGACTTTTGAACGTCTTTTGAACATTTTGGACGTCTTTTGAACGTTCAAAAGACGTCTTTTTTTGGTCCGGTGCCCATTGGGAAGGTAACTGAAAGAAGATCACAAAGATCTTGTCATCAGAACCTTAAGAAGCGTCCATAAAGTACATACGCAGCAAAACCACTGATTTATTTTTAAAATTTTTTCAATAACTTCCATCTTTATTTTTGTAATCTATTGATTGATTTTTTTTTAATTATTTACATTAGTTTGTTGTTGTTACACAAAATATTGCAATTATAATAAAAAAATAATAATAATAACAATTACTTTTTACAAATTTACAATGATAAACAATATAAACAAGGTAACTAAAGGAAGAATTTTTTTTTTCAACATCTTCGCTTCCAACAAGGTTGCAAGCAACCACTAAAAACCCTGTTTATGATAGGAAGAAGACTAATGGGACGGTAATTAGACATGTCAGATTGCTCTCCAGAATTTTTGAAAATAGGGATAATATATGCCGCTTTCCAGCAGGCTGGAAAACAAGACTCTTATAAGCACTTGATAAATAGTTTTGAAAGTATAGACGACAGCTCTCAAGAACACTTCTGCAAGACTATATCAGGTATGTTATTCGGACCATAAACTATAGAATTCTACAGCTTGTGGCCTGTACCTGCTTAGACTCTTCTAGAAGACTTTGTCTACCTGCTTAGAATTATCTAGAAGAGTCTAAGCAGGAAATCACTTTAGATACAGAAGCTGGAGTGATACGAATGTCAAGCAATGAATTAACCTGTTTTATGTCAGGTAAAACGCAACTAGTGGAATATTGATGAATAATTCTTCTTTTTAGGTGAGGTGACAAAGTTTGAACCATACATGAGAGATGGAGTAACAGATTTGCCCTTATTATTGATACTGTTAAAGATTCTCTAGAAGTCACGAGAGCCAAATTTTTGTGATGAAATACGAAACTTAATGACCTGGGAATAGCGGGCTTTGGCGTTAGACAAAACTTTTTTACAGTGGTTTCTAGTAATATTAAACAGACATCTGTTTTCTGGAGAATTGTTTTACTGATAGATATGGAAGTAATGGTTTCGATTGGCAATTGCAGCAGCACAATGTGAGGAAAACCATGGAGAAGAGTGAGGCTTGACTTAGAATCTTCGAGAGAGAATAAAGGATTCCATGCCAGCCTGAATTTACGAAGTTATGTAAGAAGTACATTTGTCAGCAGAAAGACGAAAGATTTCTACCTAAGGGTCATCGCGAAGAAAATCACGAAAAGATTCCCAGCCAGCTTTAAGGTAGTTGTAAGAGCTACAATAATTGTGGGGTTCTGATGATGAAGAAGAATAAGATAATAGTTTTAGTGAGATCAAACCGCGTTCAGAAGCACCTAAGGGTGAATGTTGAGAAACTGACTAGGATTAGAAACAAGAGAAAAGTCGAATAGGGAAGGTAAATGATTTGGGTTGTCCAGAAAGCGAGTTAGAAAGTTGACTATTTGAATTATAGAGATTGAGAGAGGCAAAAGTTGTGGGTCTTAACGCCTGTAGAGCTACTGACACAAGAGCAAAGCCATTTAGTATGATGAGCATAAACTCCTAAAAATATTGTAACGCAGTTACAATTTTAATTTTATTTTTAATTTTTTTGTACTTTTAATCTCAATTTGGTCAATAAATATTGGAGGTAGATTTATGGGCAGATAACGCTTTTACTGAAGCGAATGGAAAATAATATATTTTGTTTTATTACCAGGTAGAATTATTTTTAAGCTCGTCGTTCATTGTAGAAAAAGTTTGCAAATATAATTATTGGAAAGATGTAGGTTACTGTCGTACACGAATACCAAGTAGATTTGAGACTTTGTTCAAGTCATTAATATAAACAAGGGGGTATAATAGAATATAGGGAGAACGAAACCAAAAATTGTTTAAAACCGTTTTAAAATTGTTTAAAAAATTCTTTGCTGTATAATTCCAGCGGTAATTCAAAATTTTCCTTTTTCAACGCAAAGGCGCTGAAAAAGGAAAATTTTGAAATGTAGTTTGTAACCTATGTAAGCTGTAATAAAAATTGATTTCTCTCTTAAAAGTTGACTGGATAAGTTTTTAACAACTGTTCCAACTATCAAGTAGTAATCACAACAAAAATCATGATCTACGTAAATTAATTGTTTTTTAAATACCTCGATACTAGGTATAAATATCAAAGACTTTCTACTACTACTTGGTTGAACCTTATCTTTTGCTTTTAGCTATAAGTTTGTCACGATCTTAAAGGAAGTTTTTCGGCAAGGAACTTATTATATCTCTCCAGGACTTTATTTTGTATTGTAATATTTTTGCTGGATTTAAAAATAAATTGCTATGTTCTAAGTATAGAAATATAAAATACCTTTTTGTAAATCCGGCAAAAATACTACCAATTTTTATCTAGACATTAATTAATTTAATTCTAATCTAGAAGTTTAATATCAATTGAGTCGGAATCACGTGACTATATCGCGTAATCAAAAGTAACCACATTGAATTGGGGGAAAACAAACTATTCTTTATTATACACAAAGTTAAACAAAATATTATTTAAGAATAACTTTGTCTTACAATCAAGTTGCAAACTCAAATGCATTTATGACAGCTTGGGGGGGGGGGGGGGGACAC